CTCTCTCTCTCTCTCTCTCTCTCTCTCTCTGATGATGATGAAGATGATGACGATGACGATGATACATGAAGATATGTTTTTATACACAGATCACCACTACCACGTTTGGTTGCAGAAAGATCTCTTTGTTCACATGCAATATTAGACACAGACGAGGCACAGAAACCGGTAAAAGTCTTTAAAAATCCAACGTTTCGAACATTTTTGACCCACTATAATCCACAGTAATCCGAGGTTTTCCGTCTCTGTGGGCCCACATGTAGGTCACCTTGATGTTATTCACAAAACAAGCTTGCAGTTTATGGAATGGAGAGCTCAGTTAAACTTTTTTTTACACACAACCTTATACACTCATTTTTTTTTTCAAGGCAATCACTGAGTCGCTGTACTTGTTTTTCTTTCACATACATATATATACATAATAAAAAGCTTATTATTATTCTGTTTATTATAGAAAGTTAAAATTATTCACTCGCGATAATAGACTGTCTAACAAACTGGTTATTATGTAGCCTACCCTCGGTTGAGATGAAAGACAACGTGCAACAAACATAGTAATATTCACACTTCACACATAACCCACACGTAGTCCTACGATTCTCCGTTTCTGTGTTCGTTCGTCTTTGTGTGTGCTTTGAAATCTATGCGAGTCATAGGCTAGGGCACGAAGGTGTGTTTGACTGGTACTGGTAGCCTACACGACCCTTTGTATAGGCTCAGCTATTCTAGTAGGCCTAAAGTGGGCGGAAACACAGGCCACGATGTTGAATATGCCTCCCTTCAATTTGCATTTACATTAATTGTTTGTATTCCCAGCTTCAGGGGGGATCGGCCAGTAATTATAACCCACACACCTGTCATTGGTGTCACACACGTTTACACCTGATACAGACACACACACACACACACACACACACACACACACTACTAATCACTCTCGCACAAGTGACAAAATATATTTTGATGTAGATCTAGATTATGTAGAAAAATACGTACATGTCGAAAACGACTGGGCTTACTATTCCAATATTACACGTTGCGGGTTTCAGTTGTAAAGCTGTCCTAAGAGTAAAGAGCACACTAGGTCTACACGCTGTAACGTTGCTGACCCAGGGTTAGATCTACGCCTCGGTGGCTTTGAACCTGCTTTGCTTCGATGTTGGCCAAGAGCCTTCGACTTCGACACAATATAGCTGTTAGATCAAGGTGACTCCACCCGGTATTTATTGGGCGTTCCTTCCAAATTCAACCCGTCAGCACGTCATTGTTCACAAAGCTGGGTTAACTCACTGGTCGCTATTGAAAAACGTACAGTCATAATTTTTCTTTTAAAAAACAACAACAACAAAAAACAAAAACCAAGGATAGATCGAGCGTCTCGTACAACCTAAACACGCCGTGCTTGAATTTGAATTTATGAGAAAGAAATCATATAAATGTACGGTATTGTTTAGTTCAAGACCATAGCGTACTTTACTACAACGCCATGTTCAAGACCCTTTTGCGAACGTATATAATGCAGCCCTTGAATTCGAGAACGATTCTCGTCTTATCTCAAACTACAGGAGCAACAAGTCAGGCTATAAAATAATTTGTTGTCAATTTAGGACTCTCTCTCTCTCTCTCTCTCTCTCTCTCTCTCGTACACACTCACTCACTCACACACACACACACACACACACACACACACACACACACATTTTGCTCTGTAGTAAATTGCCTGAATATAATGACTGGCGTTGCTATTACAGAAAAAAGATATTATAGATTACGTTTAACGTTACTCTGTATTATAAAAGCCTTGTCATTATGTTCGGAAGGCAACACAATGAATGAACCGTATTAGAAAATCAAGTTGATGGACGAAGGGAAATCACTGCGTAAATAAGATTTCTTGGAAAGGGTCATGGCAGCACTGAACCTGATTCATGGGATGTGCTGGCAAACTTGCATTATTTGCTGGATGAGCAGAGTTGAAAAACAGCGCGTGAGCGCGCGCGTGTGTGTGCGTGGTGTGTGTGTGTGTGTGTGTGTGTGTGTGTGTGTGTGTGTGTGTT